TGTTGGAATGAAGAAACTTTTAGGAAATGACAAAGGCTAAAAACACAACTTATGGAAGAAGCTTCACTCTTATTTAACACCTTTACTTGGCTTGATACAAACTCAAAGACTCCACCCCTATTTATACTAGTGGAACCTCCTAAATTAATGGCTAAGATTGTGTCACCACAATTACAATCCAATGGTTACAAATAATTCCACACCTACCACACAATAATTCAACACCTACCACACCTACCACACCTACTACACAATAATTTCATACCTACCACATATTCTAGAATAAGCTTATAGAAATTAAGCTTTATTTAAACAACTAAAACCAAGTTTATATTTCAACAACCTCCTTCCTGAGCCGCCCATCTTCTTTGAGATTCGTGTTGACATTTTTTTATGTGTGCATATTTAGTTCTCTGATTCTCTTACTCCTCAGAAGCTATTCAATACACGAGGATAAGAGAATTTTTTAACATGAATGAAATAATTAAATGATATTATTGCACAATAATAATAAATACTCCGACATTCCTACTAGCGCAACACAACCATTACCAGAACACCTCTGCTATCAAAACATCCTATTCCATATTAGCTTAAATTCATCCATAGCAACATCAATAATCTGGCATCAACCCAACTTAGCTTCGACAACCATTCAACCTGGAAGGTGCAAGTCACAAAACTTTTTAAGGCCAACAGAAACGACACCTTCCTTGACGACTCTTGTCCATGTCCGCCACGACATATTCTTAATGCAAATAGAACATTAATTCCCAACACTGACTTCACCAAGTGCATATGAATAAAGCAAAATTTGGTTGCCGCTCTCTACTCAGTCACCTCCCATTCTCCCATATGTATTACCTCTAGAAACTTGCCATGATATAGGGACAACGAATGAAAGACGACTTCAATTATCTAACCAATCTCAAATTATTCATTTGAGGAATGAACTTCACAACCTAAGTATGACACACAAAACCATGAACCAATACCTCTTGAAAATCAAAGCAAAAGTCCACATCCCGACAGTGGTTTTTTTTTGTTCTCAAATGTCAAGTTTGTAGTCGTTAAAGTTCATGTGCAAAGTGCAACCCTGCGCGGTGCTAGAATGATCATTTATAAAAAAAAACTGTAAATTAGTTGTTTTTCAAATATACAAATCAAACAATTAAACAGTTTCTCCAGATAAAGGACAAAATGATCATTTATCTAGTTGTGCATCCGTTGTTTTTCAAACGCATAAACCAAACAATCAATCAACTTATCTAAATAAGCTGCTGATCAACAGTTTATCAGGATAAGCTGCAGCTGCGCCAAACAGACCCTAAAAGATGTGCCTTAGTGAGTTGAAGTCTCGTATTAATTATTCATTTATGTTATTTATTAAGTAAAATTGATTATACTTTAACCCTGATGCAATTTTCTAGCCGCGTCAGTAAAAATCCTATTTAGTTAACTTGGGACCTTTTGGGGCAGCTTATAAATGCGGACGGAGTTTTGAAAACGCCGCAGTTATGTTTGGATCGCGCTTATTGACATTATGTAGAAACACAGTTTTAGATTTTTTAAACACGCGACCCGCTGAACGACCCCCGCGGGTCATGTTTTTTGTTCGAATTATTACAAACATTTTTAAAAAATATCACGGTTTTTCAAATATAGGTAAATTCATATAAATATAAAAATCAAATTTTATTTCTTAGATAAGATGCAATACAAAAAAAAAATGATTCATTTAGCTTATATATTTTAAGTGTGACGACATGTAATTTTGTTAATAAATTAAAATTTAATTAATTTATCTTAAAATTAGTGTAAAATGTAAATTATTGAGTAGAATTTATGTTACACATATATTAAAAATAATTTTTTGAAATTAAAAATTTATAATATTTGAATTATCTTTTATCTACAAAAAACTGCAAATTAACTGTTTCTAATCGCATGAACCAAACATCTAAACAAATTATCCAGAAAAGGAGTGGAATTATCATTTATCCAGAATATAGCCAGACAACTTATCAAGATCAACCGCTGATCAACATATTATTAGTATAAACTACTTATCCAGATCAGCTGGATAAGCTGCAGCTACCCCAAACGCACCTTTAGCTCGTCCACACCACAACAGAATTTGCTAGTTATTATACTTTATACTTATTTAGATAACACATTCTATGTAATTTTGAGAGGAGTTTCTAAAATAATCAACCCGGCGTTTAATTTCTGTAATTATGGTTGAAAGTAATTCCAAAATATCACTGTAGCAAATTAGCCTATTTCCGACCGTTGGTAACTTTCATAAATCTCTCGGTTGTTATTTCTGATCCCTTATGAATGGTTTATTGTGCCTAATTAAAATATTTGTCGGTAATTTTTAGTAGCATCGTACATGGACGTAAGTGGTGTTGAAGCTCGCTGCTTGATCTCCAAAATCCTGCAACCAAAAGCATAAGAGTTCAATAAATTATAGTTTTTTTGAAAATTTAGATAATGTGCGAGAATCCGACTGAATATCTCAACTAATGAAATCACATCCCAGTTATTTAACGAGCCGGATAGCAATAGAATACAAATTATTTAACACGTTGAAACAAAAAATTGATTGAAACTAACCTTTAATTGTGTTTGGTAGGAGTAGCTATAGCTTTAAGGGGAGCAGCCAAGGCGGTTGAGAGACCAAACTTTTCGGTGAGATCCAAATCCTCGGGCTTCATTCCGTCTGGCAAACTCCACTCGAAGGACTGTAGGAGTGAGGCAAGCATAAGCTGCACCATCCGAACACCTAATGGCATGCCCGGACAGATCCGCCGTCCTGAACCAAACGGCAAGAGCTCAAAGTGGTGTCCGCGGAAATCAATTTCACACCCTCCGGCGAACCTTTCCGGCATGAAGCAATCCGGATTCTCCCAAACCTGCTCGTCTCGACCTATCGCCCACACGTTCACAAGCACCTGACTGTTCTTCGGCACTGTATAGCCATTTATCTCCGTCCTCTCCTCTGTTTTGTGAGGCACCAAAAGTGGAGCCGGCGGATGAAAACGGAGTGTCTCCTTCAAAACCGCTTGGAGGAATGGTAGTCTAGAGATGTCTGACTCTTCCACTTCTCTCTCCAGCCCGATGACTGTTGCAATTTCGTCTCGAGCCCTGGCCATCAGTTCTGGCCTACGAAGCAATTCCACCATTGCCCACTCTAGCGTAGTCGTGCTGGTGTCACTTCCAGCGACAAATAAATCCTATTAAATTAAAAACAAGAAATCCATTCTACTAATGAGAGTATATAGTGAAAATTAGAAAATTACTTCCCGCGGATATAGCCAGAGTATATACAATGAGAAAGGATATTATGGTTTTCCTGCTAAGCTTGGAATTTTCTTCTCGGCTTAGTTGAAGAAGCGCACTTAAGATGTCATGATTCTTTCTTCCACCACCTCCTGCCAATCTATTTTCTATCACTTCATCGAAAAAATCATTGAACTTTTTAAAGTATGCGGTAAAACGGCGCCTTCGACCTTGCAGATCTATCGGAGCTAGAAAGGGGAAGAAGTCCGAGAGGTTCGGTCTCCCCAACTCTTCCATTATCCCCGACATCAAATCCTTTAAATCCTGTGCTGATTCCGACTTGAAAATATCTATCATATCAATGGACAAAAAGGTGGTCGATATCAAATTGAGAACAGTGCAGAACGCTGCCCGAGCAATGTGCACGGCCTCCCCATTCTTCCCGTTGATATATGCGATGAGTTCTCGAACCTTTTGCCGGCGAAGGAGTTGGGTTGCATCGAGAGACTGTGCGTTGAAGAGATTGGCCTTCATGAGAGTGCGGAGATATCTCCATGATTGGTTTGGGGGCAACCATACTACGGAGACCAGGTGGTGACCGACGTCTTGAATGACATCTGGGACTTGTCGGCCGCAGGTGGAGTGATCTTTTGTTATAAAAACTTCTTTTGCGGAGGCTGGAGAGGAAATGACTACTGTGTGGAGGCTGCCCAGCTTGAGATACATGACTGGTCCATGGGTTCGGGCAAGAAGGGCGAACGAGCGGTGGGGATTTTGGCCTAGCTCGAGAAGGTTGCCTAGCAGCGGAAGCGGTCTTGGACCCGGAGGAAGAGCTAAGTTCCTCGAGGATCTGCGTCTAAGAAGTATTGCGATGGCTGTGACGAAGAAGATCGACCATAGAACATAATGAAGCAGCTCTGCCATTTGGAGAATTATGAAGCACAGAAGTTGGGAATAGCAAAGCTCGGTAGAATGTATATATAGGGTTGTAATGAAGCCTTGAGCATATCATAGGGCGGACTTCTATTGGCATTTGGCAATATTTTTAAGTTATCAATGTTTTATTCATAAGTGTAACCTCCACCCCAAATTTATTTATTTATTTATCCCGTCGACCAGTTGCTTACTTTGTCTGCAGATAGCATAAGCCGTGCCGGCCGGCTTAGATTTTTTTTAAGATGTAGAGCATGTTTGGCATCAATTATTTTTTATTTTTAAAATAGCTGTTTAATAATATAATTGTTGTATGCTAAAAAATTCGCTACGGTAGTACATTGGATGATCGTCTTCGCGTTGTATGAGAATTAAACACACACTCATATAAAAGAAAATAATCAGTAGCGATACAAAAAATTTTTATGTGGAAAACCCGTAAAGAGAAAAAATCACGGGGACTTCTAGATGGAAAACTCCACTATAATTTGATGATTACAGAGTCTCTTGTCAGGTAGCTGAGAAATACTTACAAAGTCTTCCTAATTACATCGTCGACATGCAAATGAACTTGTTGTAAGAAGTGGACAGCAATCAATTGTGATCGGTGGAGATCGACAATTGTCATCGACAGCAGTCGTCAATGACTGATGGTAGTCAGTGATGGTCAATGGCGGTAGGCAGCTATCAACGGTGGCATGAGTGGTGCTGGACTTCAGTTCATTCTCAAAGCTTCAAGTTATTTCTAAGCCTGAAGCTCTCTTCTTACTCATGAGAGGGGTGAAACACTATTTATAGTGTTCTGGGTGCAATTAATGCAGGAATATGAAACACTTTGATTGGAAGATCCAGAGAACTTTTTTCGATCAGACGACGTTTTATGGACATTTGGGTGCCTTAACAATGTCAAAATTGAGCAATCTTGGACTCACTGGATCCATCTTATCAAGTCCCTTGATTCGACTATGGATCTGCTAGATTTGACATTCATTTAATCTTCTAAATATTTCCAGAAAACTTTCAAGTGTACTTTAATGACTTGATCTGAGCTTCATTTGACTCAGATTGAACTATTTTTCGTATCATTGGATTCGTCTCATCGAGCTAATCAGTTTGAACAATTATTTCTTAAAAGATTGTCTCGAGATCCATGTCATGCCTCATGATTCTTGCCAGCTAATTAAAATTTGTTAGTAACGTTTCAGTTGCCCCCTATTTTCGGGCAAGTCCAATTTCACAGTCTGAAAGTACTAGTACTCGCAACAAATTAATTTTAGTGATTGCATTATTAATACAATATTTAGGTCAAACAATTATATATATTATATATATATATATAGACACACACAGACACACACGTATGTATGTATGTATGTATTAAATTTATTTTATATATTTTTTCTATGAAATTTATATTTAATCCTCATATTTAAAATAAATTTTAATAATATCATAAAACAATATAGAAATAAATTCAAATTTATCAGAATCAAAAGAAATTAAGGACTAATATTTTTATTTTTTTCCTGAAAAGGTATGCATTATTGATTTATTATATTGACTCTTTTTAATTAACAGAGAAGTTAAATTGCAGGTTCAATAAAAATAAATTCTTGATACTCACATCAACCAGTGAAGGATTTTCAGTTATTGATCATCTCAAATTTAACACATAAGAATGTTCATCTTGTCATCCCTAATTTGTTCCACCATTGAATAAATATGCATGTAACACATTGTTGATTAGGTGGATGCATTGGCTGGAATCAAGCCCCCCAAAAATCTATGGTTTTTAATTTTGTGATCGATATACCGAAAAGTTGGCTGAAGCATTCAATTTTGTATGGCATAATTAAGTTTTGCTGAAAGTGGCCCAACCATAGATATTATATTAAAAATTTGGCAGATTTACATACATATACACCATTAAATTCTTATGTATTTACATATTTAACAGCTAAACTTAAATTATTTACATGCCTGCCACCTGACCTATGGATAAAAGGCGCCTGTTCCACTTCTAAATTTAAAATGGAGATATTTTAGATATGATCTGAAAGATTTGAGTGCCCAATACATCACAAGCACTAATCTTGTTTGTCAACATTGAGATTAGGTTTTATGCATACATTTGTCAATAAGGTCGATGCCCACATCATTTACATTAATCTCAAAGCATGCTATAAGAAGATTAATGCACGCCGTCATAAGATCAATTGGTAATAATATTGATAAACTCTAACGCACTTTCTTAGTAAGAACATTGATGTATGTCATTAACAATGACGTTAATACACTCTTTACTAACAAGGCTAATGCTCATTACTATCACCTACCACCACCAAGTCATATTCTTGAGTTCGTAATATATTGTCACATCTCTAATAAAAATAATGGTCCAAAATATACCACAAGAGGAATTATTTCAATTAAGGGGAGACTTAATATTTTTTTTTCCCTCTTAGTTTTTTCAAATAAAGAATTATCCCTCATAAATTATACCAGAGCTTGTTTTATCTTATTGTATGAAATCTTCAATGTTATTGTTGCCTTCTTGTAAGAAATTTGTAGTATTTCACCCAAAAATTTCATGAAAATGATTTAATAATTCGGGCATGTTATTTTTATTATAAATTATATCAATCAGTTAATGTTGTTATGCTAAATTATAATTTACAATACTGTTTAAATATTAGTTCTATATTTAAATCCCAATTTTTCATTAATTCATGCATGAGAGTTTCAAGATTTATGATGCATTAGTAAAACTATAAATTAATATATATATATA